AAAAAAAAAAAAAAATGTATAAAATTAATATTTAATATAATTAGGACAGCTTTTTAATAATATTGTTTTTAAATATACTGGTTATTACATTATGTAGTCTTAGCGACAAAAATATAAGTAACCTAAAAATAATATAGGTAGTACAATAATAAAACAATTTGGTTATTTACATTTTTATCAATATATTTCCATCATTAATGCTTTTATGGTGAACAGGAAAACTGTTTTCTATGTCTTTAAGTTTTATAAAATTTAACTTGTTGGTCAATATTACTTTAAATGCTCCAAAATGTTCATCATAAAAAATGGTTTTATATAAAACATATTTAATAAATAGTTCATTTTTTACAATGAAAATACTTTTAATAAACCCAAATAATGGTAACATATCGTTGTTTTCATCACATATCTTTATAATAACGGACATACTCTTAGAGTTATATAAAAACCCATTAATTTTTACCCATGAAACAAAAAATGTAACGTCGCGGTTATTTAAATCATAATGACCTGAATGTCCAATTGACTTAATTTAATTGCAGGTCCTATTTCTATTGGAATTGTATAGTAATCAATTTTGGGAGATAATAATCTGTATGAAAGTCTTAATTGTTGTTTTAGGGACAATGTTTTTACAATATTTTTTCTAGAAGTTGTCGAATTAGCAGTTGTTTTTAGTTCTTTATGTTTACCTTCAAAACGCATTGACCAATGTAATGGTAATGGTCCAGATTTTCGTAGTATTAATGGATAATAGACCATATAGTCAGGGCCGGCGAAAGCTATGGGCGACCTGGGCGACTGTCCAGGGCGCCAGCACGGAAGGGGCGCCAAACTGAAAATTATTTTTATTTAATTTAACTTTTAAAAGGCATTAACAATCTATACAATTTGAAATATTCATTTTCATTATCTAATGTCATTTTAGTTGAAGATCAGAAGATGCATCTGCAATTATCTCATTTTAGTCATATTTGTAGAATATAAGAATGTAACAGTGCATGTGCATCGATACCGCTGGTTTTGATGTAAAAAACTAAAAATAATGCACCAATCCATGGAACTATGGAAGCATACCACCGCATATTTATGTGTCAATAAAATATATAGATGGTCGTAATAATTATTTTTATATTATAATATTTACCCATTTATAAATAAATTCATATAACTAGACGTCTAGACGATAACGATTCGTTAGAAAAACCGCGATGATAAAACCCATTCGGACCTTACGGCGAAAATACCGCAGTGTAGAGTAAACCAAAAGACACAATTGCCTGACACACACACTAGTACACTACACGTCTACACACACAAAACACAATTATTTATTGTTTTCGATAAGCTCTCGCTTCGTATGGTCTGCTGTCAAATATTATAAACTAACAAGTAACTGCCAACAGCCAACAGGTAATTAATATTCATATATTTTGTTTAGTACATTTTTACATAATATTTTGGTTTCTTTTTAAAATAAATTCCGTTCGCTGGTTGTTTTAATAAATAAGTAGTGAAACACAGTATTCCTATATTATAAACAGTAGTGGCGTGAAATAATATTATATATTTATATTTGATTTGATATTTTATGTTAATGAATATACTATGATATAATATAATATATTATGATGATAATATATAATAATTAATATATGGCGCAACGGTCGATATAACGTGATGAATCGCACATTCACATATTTATTATTATGAAAATACTTAAACACGTTTTCCCAGTATCTATAAATTTAATATAATATTATAATATTATTTTCGTCTTACAATTCGACAGCAGCCTATAATATAATACATTCGGCTACGACGTTGTGGCTATATACTATAATATTATAGAGTATGTAATGATTGCAATTGCACAATAATTCGTGCGATCTATTGATTATTTATAATAATACATACCTATAATATTTTAATTATTGAATTAAATTGAAATTATTGAATTTCATATTACACACGATAATTCAAATAAGTCTTCTCTTCTTTTTCATTTTATCATAAAATATTATTTTTTTTAACCTAAATATGCAAATATAAATAAATAAATAATTGTAGGTAAAATAATTGATACCATGCCGCCAAAAAAAGATAAACCTTCAGGAGCCCAATATCGAAAGCGTAGAGCTCAAGCTCAATTAGAATTAGAAAAAAATGCAAAAATGATGAACAAATATTTTAAAAGTAATAGTGGAACCTGTGAAACATCTACCTCGACATCGGATGCTAGAAATAAATCAATAAATGATATAGAAGAAAATATTTCTAAGACTCATGTTAAACATAATAATGAAACATCTACTTCGACATCGGAGGCTAAAAATGAATCAATAAATAGTATATATGAAAATATTTCTAAGACTCATGTTAAACATAATAATGAAGAAACGTTGACCTCTCCTACTTTAACATATTTTCCTTGTGATGATAATAATTTTGATATTGACATTAATAGTAATAAAAGTGCATTTGTGAACAAAACAGTTGAGATGAGCGATAAACCGGTAACCGATGTTTCAAAATCTGTTGCATTTATTTCTCAACCTGATTTATTCGACCCATATTTATGGCCAGATAACAGACAGAATAACTTAATAGACATAGTTATTAAAATGGGACCACGTGAAATAAACGAAGACATTTTTCCCAAAGATGAAAATAATCGTCATTTTTCTAAAATTTACCAAATAAGAAAATTAGACAACAATGAAAAAGTTAAAAGACGATGGCTTGTATATTCTAAAAGCATTGATCGGGTGTTTTGTTTTTGTTGCAAACTTTTTAATAGTTCTCATAGTACACTATCCACAACAGGCAATAATGACTGGAAACATATGACAACAATACTTATTTCTCATGAAAAATCACCTGAGCATTTTACTGCATACAAAAAGTGGCACGAATGTGAATTAAAATTAAACCTTGGTAGATGTATTGATAATGACCTGCAACGAGTAATGAATACAGAAGTTCAATATTGGAAAAGTATTTTAGAAAGGTTAATATCTATAACTTTATACTTATCCAAACACAATCTAGCTTTTCGAGGATCGTCTGATAAACTATTTGAAAGAAATAATGGAAACTATTTGGGGTTAGTAGAACTTTTAGGAAAATATGACAATAAAATGAAAGAACATTTAAATCGAATAACTACACAAAAACTCAATCTAACTTATTACAGTAAGGATATTCAAAATGAACTTATAAATCTAATGGCCTCCAAAGTTTTAGAAATTATTCAGCAAAAAGTACAAGTCGCAAAATATTTTTCTGTGATATTAGATTGTACTCCTGATGTCAGCCATTCTGAAAAAATGTCATTTACTATAAGATTTGTGGACGAAAATAATGGCAATTTACAAGTAGCTGAGCATTTTATTGGTTTTAGAGAAGTTAGTGAATCTACTGGAGAAAGCCTTACTGAGTTGTTGCTTAAGACACTAAAAGAAAACAATCTTGATATAATGAACTGTCGTGGTCAGGGTTACGATAATGGCGCGAATATGAAAGGTCATAAAAAAAGGTGTTCAAGCAAGAATTTTAGCTTTAAACCCTAAAGCGGCATTTATGCCCTGTGGTTGTCATTCTCTTAATCTCGTTATATCTGACGCAGCCTCGCAATCCAAAGAATCTATCACTCTTTTTGGAATTGTACAACAGATATTTGTTTTATTTTCGGCTTCTGTTTACCGTTGGCAAGTACTAAAATCACACTTACCTAACTTGACGGTTAAACCATTGTGTACAACCCGTTGGGAGAGTCGCATAGACAGTGTAAAAGCAATTCGATATCAAACAAAAGAAGTATACGATGCATTAATTGAAGTTGCGGAATCATCTAAGGCAGATGCTGGTACAAGGAATGAAGCAAGCAGTTTAGGCAATCAATTACTTGACTTCAAGGTATTGATTTTATTAAATGTTTGGTATAATTTATTATTTCAAGTAAATATTGTAAGTAAATCTATGCAAGGGTTTACAATGGATATAGAAATGGCGTCTTCATTATTAGATAATTGTGTCAAATAAATTAACAAGTATCGAGAAACAGGGTACGCAGATGCGTCAAACTCTTCAAGAGAAATAGCAGAGTCATTAGGTATAGACCCAATTATAAAAGAAGTACGAGTAAGACGTAAAAAAACTTTTTTTTGATGAAAACACCGATCAAGATTTTTTGATTAGCGCTGAAGAACGTTTTAAAAGAGAATTTTTCTACACTCTTGTAGACACAGTCAGAGAATCTATAAAAGAAAGATTTACTCAATTTGAAAATCATAAGCAGTTATGGGGGTTTCTGTACAATTTAGAAAAATTACCATCTTCTGAATATCTTTTGGCATGCTGTAAAGATCTGCATGGAGCACTCTCGGAAGGAGATAGTGCTGATATAAATTCCGTAGAGCTTTACAGTGAACTTAAACATCTGAGTTCACTTTTACCAATTGGCAAAGGATCCCCCAAATCAGCGCTCCAGTTTATACACGATATGAAATTAGTTGATATATTCCCTTACACATGGATATCTCTAAGAATATTGCTGACGATTCCAGTTACTGTAGCATCAGGTGAACGAAGTTTTTTTCTAAACTGAAATTAATAAAAACTTATTTGCGCTCCTCGATGACAGATGATAGACTTTCTTTGTTAGCAATTTTGTCAATTGAAAATGATTTAGCCCAAAAAGTAAACTATGAAGAAGCAATCAAACAGTTTTCTGAATTAAAAGCTAGAAAAGTTAAGTTTTAATATTAATTATAGTTATAAGTTTAAAATTAATATTTTTATTTTTTTTTTTTATTTTTTATTTTACGGAATGCGACAATTTTATACGTTAATAATATAATATGTGTAATCTTATTACAATGGTATACGATCAGGTAATAAAGTTTAAAATTATGATACAAAATACATACTAATTTTATTACTACTCAAACTAGGTGTGAGGGGG